CACACACACACATATATAGATAGATAGATAGAGAGATAGATAGATAGATAAATGCAAATACGTGTGTGTGTGTGTGTGTGTGTGTGTGTGTGTGTGTGTGTGTGTGTGTGTGTGTGTGTGTGTGTGTGTGTGTGTGTGTGTGTGTGTGTGTACTTATACGAGAAATTATACGAGACACAATAATATTTTGGGTATTTGAGAAAACAAGCGTTAGTTCATCTTAAAGATACAACCGAGCAGGCCCGCAAGCAATGTTAACGGTGTGGACAAAAGCACAACGTCGGCTTAAAACGGAAACAGGAAGAAATAGCAGAATTATAATGATAATGATGATGGTGGTTATGATCATGGAGATGGTGGTGGTGGTGGTGATCGTGATGATGGTGGTGGTGGTGGTGATCGTAATGATGATGGTGACGATGATGATGGTGATATTGATGGTGACGATGATGATGGTGATATTGATGGTGATGATGAGAAGGATGGTAAGAAGAAGAAAAAGAGGAAGTGGATGAAGAAAAAAATAGATAAGATGATGAAGAAGAAAACAGGTAGAGAAGAAACATCGTCCACCACAAACACCGCAGAGCATTTTAACATCCGGCCAAAACAATGAGACAAAACAAAGGCCTATTAATTATAACGACGAGAGATCTTGACAGCAATCAGACGCGGTTGGCGGAGAGGCTGCCAAGGCTACGCTCACCGGCAAAGAGAGATCTGTGACCTCTGTGAACTCTCATGAATAATGTACAATATATTTCTATTTTTGTTTTGTTTTGTTTTCATTCAATTTGTGTATAATGTGGTTTTGTCCTGCTTTTTTTCTTTTGAGAAGTAAGAATCGTCATGGTTTTGTAGTTCTTTTGCGGAGAAACATGTGCCATTTGGTCTAATATTAACGCTGAATTTATGTAACACGGTTTTTGAAGTCTCTCTTTCATTATGTATGTGTTTTGTTATCAATTTTAGGGGGAAAATGCCTATCGTGTTTTCCTTGTAGAATCACTTTATGAAAATTTCCAGAAAAAATAACACCTTGTTGAGCACACACACAAAAATGCTGGAAGGTATGTCTTGCCCTTTATCACAAAATTCCGCACAGAACAGTCATAGAAAGCCATTTAATACCTTGTCTATTTTCAGTTACGACGACTGTTCTTAAAAAGTTCCTTACCTGTTCGTTTCACTAAAGCTTCTTCCTCACTGATTGGCGTTGAAGTCTCTGTCTCTCTTTTAAATCTATTTTTCTTCCGATTCCTGATTCTAGGAAGTTGACTCGCCTGTGACCACTCCCCCACGGGAACCCCAGTTCGCTAGCGTTCGCCTGACAGGAAATTGTAACAGAGACTGTTTACGTGAGGAGTTAGTGACAGGACAGCACAAGACTAGTTGGCAACTACAAGCCTTGACCGATGGCGTTAATTGCGCCTCGATTTAATATCAGTCTAACGTATCACTCCACGCAATCCATACATAAGTCTTCAAAACATCACAAAATATCTCGTGACATCAATCAAATATAAAAGATAAACAAATAAACCAAATGAAATTTAAATGAACCACAATAGACGACATCTCGCAACCGCCCGTCTCCTACCTGGGAATCCCAATGACGTCATGGCGGCTCCCCCTACACAATTTCTTCGGGTCGTGGAGTAGTGTGGCGATAACTGCTTATGGTGAGAAAGTCATGGCTACAAAGTGGGCTCAGCTATGAAGTAACTATCGGGTCAGAAGTGTTACCATCTTAAGATTCCCAACCATCGAAATAGGAAAGGTCCCCCCCCCCCAATAGAGATAAAGCATGTAACTGTTTCCATCTTGATTATTTGTTGTTTTCTCTCGAATTTCACCGGAAAGGTAATGGAAAAACGTATTACATTCCGCAATATTACCTGAATCGGATCGATCGCGGAGATAAGGTTAGGAATGGACCCACCCCCACCCCCACCCCACCCCGGAGCCGTTAGGAAATTCCTTCGCGACCCTGGAGTGCAATACAGCTTTCTCAACCTCCCAAGCATTGCCATAGGCCGAGATGGTGAGGGGGTCGAATGGCTGGAAGGGGGGGGGTGGATATTTATAAGGGGGAAGGGGATTGGGGTGAATGATAGGGGACTGGAGAGGGAGAATATATATAAGAAGTAATGGTGTGGGGAGAGGGGGTTCTAAGGGGGAAGGAGCTTGGGGGCTCTAAATAGGAGGCCAAATGTAAAGGGTAAGAGGCTTGAGTGAATGGCTGGTGGATTAAGAGGGTAAAGCATAGGAAAGAGGAAGAGGGGGGAGTTGAGGGGCAAGGGGAGGTATCTGTAGTGGGTCGGGGCTCGGGTGTAGAGTAAGAGAAAACCTGTAAGGAGTAGATGTGTGGAATGATATATATAAAGGGGGAAGAGGTTTAGATAAATAATTGAGACACGAGTTCAGAATAAAAACAAGCCTGTTATATGCATTCTTATGAACAATTAAAACGTTCTACATTCTTTGGTAACGAAGATTCAAATAACCAAAAAAAAACGAAAATAACTTTCGTTGTGTAATTCAAAAAATAAAAAATAAATAAAAACACACGTACACGCAGACACGCATGCATATACACATATAAACAGAACACTTATGTGTGTGTTGTTTTTACTGTTTTTTTTCTTTTTTTGTATCATTATCACCATTTTATTACTATATTCTTATAATCGTTATAATTATTTTTATCATTATCGTCATCATCATCTTCGTTTTTATTATCATTATTATTATTATTATTGTTAGTAATAGTTATTATCATTGTAATCGTTGTTGCTGTTTTTTATTGTTCTTTTGTCATTATCAGAGTTACTTTCAGTCATTATTTTTATCATTTGTATCATTATTCTATTATCATTATCATTATCAAAGCTATCATCACCATCATTATCATTATCATCATCATTGTTGTCCTCATTGTTGTTAATATCATTGCTATTATCAGCATTATTTTCATATCATCATAATCATTACTATTATAATTTTCATTGTTATCATTATCATAATCATCATCACTGTCATCACCATCACAAAAAAATGACAGAAAACGGGACATCATCATGAGAACAACAACCAAGGGGAAGGTTGAGAGGAAAGGGGGGAGGGGGGGTTGGGGAGGGAGAGAGTAAGAGGGAAGTGAGGAGGGAGGGAAGGGGAGGAGAGGTGGAGGGAGGTGGAGGGAGGTGGGTGGGAAGAGGGAGAGGGAGGGGGAGCGGGAGATTGAGGAGGAAGGGAGGAGGAAAGGGAGGAGAGGTGGAGGGCATAGAGAGGGGAGGGAGATGGGAGCGGGGGAGTGATGAGGGAGGCGAGGGAAGGTGGGGGCATAGAGAGGGAGGGAGCGGAGAGTGAGGAGGAGAGGGAGGAGCGGGTGGTAAGAGGGAGAGGAGAAGGTGGAGAGCATACAGGGCATAGGGATAGGAGGAAAAGGGGGAGGGAAGGGAGGAGACAGAGACTGAAACCAAGGGAGAGGGAGAATAAGAGGGAGGGGGGAGAAGGGATGAAGGACTCCCCATTAACAAGCGCAGGATCTGTTATACGGGAAAATACTGGTGTCTATTGTTCGGTGTTGAAATATTTTCTCTTTTGTTTGTTTGTTTTTTGTCATGTTGGGTGTTTTCACATTCCTGTCTATTTCCGATTTGTTGCGGAAATAGAGGGAAAAAGGGGGAGAGACTGGAGAGAATAAGGGAGGGACGGAGAGAGAGAGAGAGAGAGAGAGAGAGAGAGAGAGAGAGAGAGAGAGAGAGAGAGAGAGAGAGAGAGAGAGAGAGAGAGAGAGAGAGAGAGAGAGAGAGAGAGAGAAGACTAGACAAGACAAGAGAAGAGAAAGAGAAAGAGAAAAAGAGAGAGAGAGAGAGAGAGAGAGAGAGAGAGAGAGAGAGAGAGAGAGAGAGAGAGAGAGAGAGAGAGACTAAGACAGACAAAGCGAAGAGAAAGAGAAAGAGAAACTAAAGAGAGAGAGAGAGAGAGAGAGAGAGAGAGAGAGAGAGAGAGAGAGAGAGAGAGAGAGAGTAGAAGACAAGAGAAGAGAGAGAGAAGAGAGAGAGAGAAAGACAAGACAAGACAAGAGAAAGAGAAAGAGAAAACTAAGAGAGAGAGAGAGAGAGAGAGAGAGAGAGAGACGGAGGAGAGGGAGAGTGAGTATAAACACAAAAAAAGAAAAGAATATTCATATCAACCAGACATATTTAAGTTACCGACGCATATCAGTGCTACCATCATCAGAGCATTTATTTTCTGCTCGAAAACCGATATCTTATGCAATGTCCAATAAATGCTGATTTCCGTATTCGTGCATAATGACGAATGGTGAAGCGAAATTCAACTCAGCCTCAAATTTAAGACATTGTATTCCATTCGTTGGGATGTTGATTTAAATTAACAACAATGGATGTGTGTATGTGTATGCGTACATGTACGTATGTTGTATAGTGTGTGTGTGTGTGTGTGTGTGTGTATATGTGTGTGTGTGTGTGTGTGTGTGTGTTGTTGTGTGTGTGTGTTGTGTGTATGTGCTTGTGTGTATGTGTGTGTGTGTATGCGCGCGCGGATGTGTGTGTGTGTGCGCGCGCGCGGATGTGTGTGTATGTGTTGATGCAGTACATATGTCCAATGTAATATTTGACACAGGCTGAAATTACCCATGGCTAAGCGTATAATATCAAGCTAAAAAAAATCGTAAACAAAAAAAAAGCAACAACAACAACAAAACAAGAGCAATGGACACGGATCAGGTTAGCTTCCAAGTGGTTAATTTTGGTCGAAACAGAGACAACTTCTCTGGAGGGAAAGTTTCACCCGATTTTCTGCATTATTCTGGTCTTGTTTACGTTTTCTTTTTTCTTTTCTTTTCCTTTTTCCTATTTTTCTACTATCTATTTGGTAAATGTCCATTTCAAAATGGACAGAGATAGAGAAAGAGACAGAGACAGAAAGAGAGAGAGAATTCTGAATTCCTCTCTCTTTGAAGGACCAGAACA